CTCGAGGAAAAGAATGTTTAAATTTAATTAAAAATTGATTGCATTTACAATAGCAGCAACGGAATGTTGCGTTTTTTTTTATATAATCGTTGCGTCATTTCCTTAAGTCGGTATTTATTGCGCGGTTCCAGGAAAGATCCATTCCCTCAATTATTCCGCGCGCAGTGGAAACGGATTTTTGTGGTCAGCCGAATTTCTCGCGAACAGATGAGTGTGTTGGTCTTCAAACACAAGTCGCGTTAAAAAATCCTTTTCTCTCATTTATTCTGGTTTAATTTTCTTCAAGCCTCTGCCATGTTAAAATCGACGTTTTTTTTGTTCTTCTTTTTTTTATATACTTCGCTTAGTCATGCATAATCAGGGATTTTCCTCGAATTCCCTTCGTCTCTTAACTATTCTCGAGCCCTAGTAGACCGGATTTTGTCGACTTCATGGCCAAAATATTCCAGAATTTCAACGAAGTAGCTCGATGTTCATTGCCCTGAGGAGGTCAGAAAGACCTTCGTCACTCGCTGTCGAAACAGCCTCGTTTTCTCGGGCATCGTGTACATTTTGGAAACGAAAAGTGGTATTACGAGACGCTTTAACGAGTTAAGCGAAGACAATCATTCCCCATCAGGATGCGCGCTCTTCACTTTTAACAACATTAATTCACTAGTGACAAGATTTAATTACGGTAGGCTCTTCCGCCACGACTTAACGGCGTCGTTATTAATTTCGCGAGCGAGTTACCCATACCGATGCGTCTCAATGAATCCGTATATTCTCTCATTAAAATTCTAAAGGAATCGCTGCCCGATATCGATACGCGATATATCGACGCTATATCGTACCTGCAATCGTAAGGATATCGCGATTCAGGGAGACCCGGGAAGTGGACCGTTGTGCAGGTTATGGTTTACTTCGGTCTCCGAGGGGTTAAAAAAGGGAGAGGGTTGCGCGCCATAACCCGCCATCCCTTGCAGAATCGACCGGCTTGTGCCAAGTCGGTACAGGAACAGCGGGGGAGGCCTGGGCCTCCCTTGATTTCGGGTTGCAACGCACGCTGCCTGACATTGATTTTCCTCCGCTTCGCCCTTTCCCTATCTCTCTCTCTCTCTTATCGCGGTCCTAAATCCTTCCAACTCGCCCATCCCTTTATTCCTTCTCTTCTCCCTCTTTCCTTATCCTCTCTTCCATCCTTCGGTCCTCTTTGGAGCGAAGACTCGCCTGAGCGGCCAATTTGGCGCCACCGAACGAAATGTGTCAAGGCCTGACAAGATCCACACACACACACACACACACACACACCCTCACCCACACACGCGCATGATCTGGTATTCTCTTCGCGTGCGCGTCGCTTCATCCTTTCGCAGGGTGGACGCTTGGCCGGCTTAAGAGAACTCCATTTCTACGTAATGGATTCTTATATATAAGAAAATTCGGAGGCGGGACTGACATTTCTCGCGTATTTGCTCCTCTTTTCACCGCCTCGAAGAGACAGATAATTATTATCATGCCCTCTCTCTCGAGTCGCGATATCATCCCGCGCTCTCGATCTCTGCATATATTCCGTCCTCCATTTTCTCAGTTGGCTCACGCACGCGTGAGATATCAACGGGCCGCGCTAGCTTCCGATACAGCGATAACGCGCTCCTCCGCCGCGATCGATTCGAGCGAAAGCGGCGCGCGTTGCGGTAGGGCTGCGTGTATATCGCGCTCCTCGCGTGTTACACGTTTGTTCGATCCATTCAGTCGAAAAGGGGAGAAAGGGTCAGGTCGTCGTCGCGGCGCGGCGAAGCTATAGAACGGGGAGACCTTGGAAGCTGCCGCGTGCGTTTCGTAACTTTAACCTTTCCATTTTGCCGCCTCGGAGCCCTTCCTTCTTATTCCCCGGAAGGCCCACTCTTTCTTCCGAGGCCTTCCTTTTCTTCGCTCCCTCTCTTTTCTCGAGCCCTTTTCGGTCAAACACGCACGATTCCTCCGAGAATCGAAAGCCCAGCGTGCCGTATCTATCTTCGTCCTCTTCCAGATCATCGACTCATCATCGGTCCTTAGAATCTCTCAGAATATGCGATAATAATTTGAGACGCGAGCGAAAGCCCGGCCGGACTAATTGGATGTCGCTTAATTATTTTCCGAGCGCGTTTCGAGCCCTTATCGCTAAGGGAAGATTGAGATTCGTCTCGCAAGATTTCGAAGCGTCATGTTGCGACATCAATTTTCGACGTCAAAGTTCTCGAAGGGAATTCGCGTCCGACTTAATACATACCTGTACATTCGAGGATTGGGGCTCTACGCGTATACGTGTGCGTCTAGGTATAATCATCGATAAATACACGAGAGAGAGAGAGAGAGAGCGGATTGGCGATTTGTTGGGCGGCGCAGATGGCGCGATGCCTTTCTTAGAAGCGCGGTCGTCCCGCTTCCTGGCCGGCACCGTTTTGCGTTTCTGCATGTTCGGAGGCATACCTATCCCTCGTCTCTCCCTTTCGTCCCTTCACCTCTGCCGATGATCTTCGCAAAACCCGCTCTCCTTCTCGCTCTCTCTCTCTCTCTCCCCTTTGGTGCCGGCCGGCTGCTTCTCTCTCTTCCGGCGTCTTCGCGCGTACGCGCGCCTTTGTTCCGGCGCGCGGGTCCTTTGTGAATTTCGTAGTCAGCTGCACGAGGCCCGCCCCGGGGAGAGCTGCCCCGTTTACATTTTTCTAGGATGCCCATGGCCCTCTATTTTTAGGCGCTATCCGCCGTCGAGAACCCATACGTAAGAGATGCGCGCGCGTGTTTTCGCCGCGACTGTATCGTCATCCGACCGTATTTTCAGCGCACGTTTAACGATAAATGTGCTCGTTTGTTCCACGTGTCAGGTTGACACACCAACACAATTTTCGTATCAGACAAATAAATCTTTCAGATGAGTCGCGCGCAGCGTTACGCGGCGTTGCACAGGTGACGTAAGCGAGAACTGTCATCGAAAAATATAACTTCGATAATAATTGTGTCAGAAGGAATTTAAATTGATTGGAAAATTGATAAAATTAAAGGATCAGATATATCTCGTACAATCGCGCGCGATCGATGTTTCGGAAGAAAATTTTTAAAAATAGACGGGTCTTTGTATGAAATTTTATCCGATGACGATCATTACGTCGGATGCCACCAACATGCGCGGACACATACACATGCGTTCTCTCTATTCACGCCCACGATTATTTATGCGTTGCATGTGGCCGTAACGATTTTTACGACGGTCTAGCGTGCGACTGGTACGTTCGAGCGTGATACATATATTTTCTCAGCTCTTCCTTGCCTCTTTCTTGTGACACCTGAACGCTGCGATGAGCGAGCAATCCTTTCGTTTAGAAGAGAACACGGGGCCACCCGATGATGGGCGGGCGTTTTTTTTTTTTTTTTTTTTTTACTTTCTTTGGTTCTCCGTTCGAGTTCAGTTTCCGATTAATCTATATAATTTCAGTAATGACACGGTGTGTCACGCAGCTGGTGAACGGCCCCGTTTCTTCTCGGCCACGGTCGTAAAACGTAAACACGATTTCGGCCAATTTCATCTTGATTGCGATTTAGCATAGAATTACTTACTTTATAAGTTGTCATTATTGTTAAATGCGCGCACGTGCAACGACGTCACCAGGCTACTGTCATTGTCGCACAATGAAAACGTTTAGAGAATTGCCACGTTTTCTTTGTAATTCGAGAAAAAGAAGTCTCGAACGGGTTAACAAGACTTAATGCGTATTTCCCTTGAAAATACGGTGCGCAGTTTCTCGGCGGAACAATGAGCTTCTCGCTACTTTGAGATGGAGCGACAGAGCGAGTCACGGAGTCATGGTCGCGCAATGTTAGCCTCTCTAACGCTACCGACGCTGTACAAAAAAGTTTTGATTTTTCGTCACAAGTGTGAACCTATAACCGTATATTTTTTAAGCTCAAATATTTAATTATTTTTAGCTTTTATATTGTTTCGTCTTTCTGAAGATTTTTGAAAAGAACGCGCCATTACGATATCATAAGGTTGTACATCTTGATAACATATAGAATCAGCTTACCCGCAATGTGACAGCATTTAATTATCTGCGCTATATTTCTCTCGGGGAATAACCTCTCTTGAATGTCTAGCGGTTAGTCAGAGTATACGGTTTCTAAAGCGTTGAATTTCACCTGCCCGTGTACCTACCGACTCATCAGCAAACTAATTTAACTTCTTTAAACCTGAAATATTATATTCTTGAAAATAAATACTAATTTAATCATACGACTTATATTTGTACGTGAAATCCAAAAATAGTAGGAATGTTCGGGAGAGTCTTCGGACGATAAAAGATTTGGGATTTGTAAAATAAAAAAATATGTATAGAAAGCGTATTTTTTCTTTCGAAAACGTTACACGAAATCGTATTTTTGTAGTCGCGATCGGTTGTCCGCGAGAAGGCCGGACCGCCGTAAATGGTACTTCGGGCGCAAGTTAATCGGGCTGAGATGGGAAGTGTATTAGAGGATGGCCTTGCACGCGCCAACAATCTCGGAGGCATTGGCCTAATGTTCCATCATGAATCGTTCGCTCGAGCCTGAACTTTGTTTTCTTCTCGCCGATGGGTGGACTAATAGCGACTGCGCAGGCAGAAAAAAACTGTGCGAGAGAAAGAGAGAGGCTGACTATATTGCGCAATCTGCATCCACGCTTCTTTCCACGAAGGTTTCGCCACAGCGCCACGCGCGTGTATGCGCAGAACGCTTATTTATGATTAGGCAGGAGCAATCATGAAAAATGTTTACCTTCGAAAAAGATTCATTTTATTTCAAACGTCTTTCTATATCTAATCGACATTTTAATCGCCATATCATTCGTGTGCGGCCTATATTTTTACAGCGGATTCGTCATTTAAATACAAATAATACGAATGAAGCAAAAAAAAATTGTAGGCATAATTCATATATAGCTTCGTAAAAGCTCGAGTCAATTTCTAAACGATTGATCTGCATGATCGCGTATTCTTTCATTGTTGCAGGTAAAAAGCTGAAGTGTCCCTACTGCGAGAGATTGTACGGCTACGAGACGAATCTGCGCGCCCACGTACGCCAACGTCATCAGGGTATCAGGGTGCCGTGTCCGTTCTGCTCGCGGACGTTCACCAGAAACAACACGGTGAGACGACATATCGCGCGAGAGCACAAGGAGGAGCTCGACATGAAGACCTTTCAGCAGTCCAATCATTCGGTCTCGGACACCCCAGTAACAAACGTGCCCCAGTAACAAAGTCTTCGGCGTCGCTGTCGTCCACGTCGTCGCCACCGCGGTTGTCGAGGTCGCGGTCTGCGCGCATTGGTGGTGGTACCGGAAGCAACGTTCCCGGAAACCACCCCGTTGCAGCCGACGGCGAGACCGGGCCGCGGATAGTGGTGCGAAATAGAGGAGAGGCTGCAGAGAGGCAGAGTAGGTACCTTCGTTTTCCCTTCGTCGTCGTCAGCGAACGCCGTCCCGTTTCCTCGTCGTGAGGATAATTTCCTCCCCTCCGTGCGCTCCTTGAAGATCCGACAGGAGACACGTTTACAAACGATAGAAACGACTGTGAAGATTCGTTTCACACACGGAAGAGCCACGGAATGCGCGCGGATACGCTCGCGAAAACGCTGCGAATCACAAAACTAGTCAATGAAAGTGCAACGGTCAAGTAAGAATTATTAACGCTAGGGAGCTTCTTAAACGGGCGAGAGTGAAGATAGCGGAGCGAACAGAGAGCGCGCATAAATATACACTCACACACACACACACACGTACAAAAACACATACACACGGAGACATTTAGCATAAAGCAGACGACTGCGACGAGAGAACAACGCAATCTCAGGTAGATTACACGATATAATTCATCTTACCATAGATATCGGAGAATTATTACACTCGCCGTGGTATTTTTCATCGTTGACCGCTATACCACTATATTATCGCTGTTGATGAATCGAGCCTACGGGATCGTGACATTTGAGTGATATCTATTCGGGACGTTAGACTTTACGCGCGCACAGTGCCAAACCAGACGCTTTTATACTCTGGACACATCGGAGCTTTTTTTCAGTTTCGCCCATTCGTATATACACGCGTGACACACAATTTAATTATTACAAATAATAATAATAATAATAATAATAATCGTGGTGACAACACACACACATATCGCGCCGAGATGAAACCCGACGACACGCAGACCTTTTATACAGATACAATTTTATATGACATTTACTATAGGGCGGATGACTGTCGTGCGATTAGCCGCGGGAAAGCGCGAGACTGTCGACGAATACTTCTTGGCGAACGCGCAGTCGAAGAGGTGCGAGATACTAGCAATATGTTATAATAATCTCATATATACATCGTTTTACGCCGACACACATTGATTTTTCTAAAACAATAATAATAATCGCTTAAAGAAATCGCGTCCATTCGCATTCGCCACGGAAGTTTCTCGCAGCGAACGGAAGCTAAATCCCGCGGCGAAACGATCACTACCACTTTGTTACCTGTTTACAATGTTTAAAATGATGCGGACTTTTGTCCGCAGAGCAATAGTCGTGTACCGAGAAATAAATATAGCGTATAATAGAGCCATCGATCACTTGAAAGGAAAATAGTGCGCGCGATTGCGCGTTAAATAGTTGCTATCCCGGTTGTATAAGAGATATGTGATCAATGCAATAGATTATATTACACATTACCTATATGTATAGATATATAGAGATATATACTCCTAGTCAGGATGGCACCCACGATATTATATTACTTGTTACAGTATTTACACTTTATACAGAAGATTATTCTCTCTTATTTTTTCCGTTTTTATTTGTTCTCCCTTTTGTTTTATGCAGAAAGTTTAAATGGTTATATTCTCACAACGATACCGCCTATACCGTAAGTTTATCAGAGACAATAGACGATATATAGAGAATTATTTAGTATTTAAAAGCGCGTCGTGCGCGAGCCGGGGATACAATAATACACGAGATAGAAGCTGAAGAAATAGATAGATAGAGAAAGAGAGAGAGAGAGAGAGAGAGAGAGAGAGAGAGTGAGAGAGAGTTCAGTTTTCTTTTTGTTTCCATTTTTATCTTTTTTCTTTTCCTTTTATTCTTCTTTTCTTTTTATATTCCATTCAATATACGTCAAATATGTAATATATAATATACGAGCACTCGTCGCGCACGCGCGCGTATACCCTGCCAAAAAAGTATGACAGTACTACCTCATTGTTTTGCAATGCATTACACACACAGGGAACACAATAGCGATTATATACTGTATGATAAAGAAATCTGTACATTCCGTACAGCCGCAACTACTATTACTACTTGTCCAGTTAGTGTCGGAGCAGTTCTCCTGCCATTGCTACCCTGGCGTTGGGTAACACAAGATCGTGGATCTCGGAGCTTGTTAACCGCACACAGTCGATTTAATTCCGATCTATTCTTTGCTCACAGAACGAATTTATCCACACTGAAAAAAAATTGTCAACTAAACCTTTCAACGAAATATTTTGTTGATTGAACATATCAAAATATTTAAATTAAATATAACATATTATTTGGCTTAAATATTAATATGTGTTCAGTTAACGAAATAATTTAGTTGAAAGATTTAACCAAGTTAACAATATTTTTTTCAATGCAGTACTAGTCAATCGTGAACATTTATTCTCCGTCGCAATTAGTTTCATCCCGCCAACATAATTCGTCGAAAGCTCGTCCGGGAAATTCGAGAAAAGTTCCGGGATCCTCGAATCGTTACGTGATGTCTATCTATTATACGTATATAATAGAGCCGTTTGTTTTCTTTCTGTATTTTTTTATTGCGAAGCCGCGTTACGAAATAACAAGTGTACGTATGTACAACTGTAAATCTTAACGAGTGAGTGAGAAAGCGTGCGTGAAACAGCGAGTAATAATGCGTGGTTTTTTGTCGCGAACATGTTTTCGCGCGTGCGAAGATAGTTCGAGGAGAGAAAGAGGAGTTGAATTTGCGAGATTCGTTGTCAAAATTGCGACGCGTTCACCCTGCTGAAAGTGGAGGCGAGAAAAAGAAGGTGGTGAGAGAGCGAAGAAAAAAAGAAAGAACGTTGATTGCCGAAAATCGACGACGTACTGACGAAAAGAAAAAAAAATAAACGACATGAAATAGCGTTAAAGAAGAGCGAAATTTATTCGGACGTAAGTGGCGTAGGCGATTATTTCGAGGGCGCACGAAGTTAACCGGGAATGGGATTGATGATGCTGGACGACGAAGATTACATAGTCATAGGGAAGTTAATTCCTGGGGGAGAAACCACGGGAAGGATATTCAAAGATGTTATGTGTCGTTTACGTATGTGATGAAGATAGGAACATACGCGCAACATGTACACACATATGCACACACAGAGGAAGGAAGGAGGGAGGTAGGAAGAGAGAAAGTGACAAGAGAGATAACATACATGCATACACACACACACACACACACATTTACACATACACATACTCGTGTAAATAGATACGGTCGCGTATGCCAAGAGTTATAATGAAAAATCTTTTACTTAATATATATACGAAATATATATATAAATATATATATCTATTGTTTTCGGCTGTTCTGCTAAGCAGAGGCATACAACAAAGATGGAAGGGAGAAAGGATACCTTTAAGTGGTACAATGAATTAGCGTTAAGTTTAAGAAGTAAAAGGATCCAGTTATATCGCGGCAGTGTGAAGCGAAAGTTAGGATAAATAACGTCAGGCGCGGAATTTCAGACGGGAAGAGGCGGTTAAACCCAGGGTTTAATATTGTTTTGTCATACGTAAGGATTAGAAGAGTGCATACGTAGTAAAAGGTATTTCACTTACTCAACACCTACACACGTACACATATTGCAATACACATTGGAGGACAGCGTCTCAACGTGTCGAGCGAAATTACAAAAAATACACGTACCTAAAAGATAATCAACGTAGAATTAAAATGAATTTAGAATTAGTCACATTATTATATTATCGCGGCATCGGCTATGCGCGTAAATGTATTTGGAGCGGCCAGATAAAAATTGGACCGACTATTCTTCCTAGTATCTCTTTCGCGATAAATTTTTGCTTCATATTGTGCTGGTGGTCTCTTGTCTCTCGGAAAATCCGCGTTTAACTCGACCTTCTAAATTGTTGTCGATTTCGTAGTATCGCTTTGCTCAAAATTTTATCGAATTAGCGTTCGTTTTTGAATTTTTATTTTTATTTTTATTTTTATATATATTTTTTTAAATTTCTTTCATCCTCGATTCTCTCTTCGATTTCGTTCGCGTCACTTCCCGAGATTCTCGAGGGGCTCGAGAATGATGTGTTGTAGATTTTCGTCGTTAGATTTCATCGATTTTTGTCGAGGTACGCGTAAAGAGATCGGATCCGCGACCGGAAGTCGAAAGTGCGAGACGCGCGCGCTTCCGTCTTCAGAGTTTTCAAGGTCCTCGGATCTAGTTATATCCGGTGTAAAAATTTATACTTGGTCTATATGTATATATATGTACACGCAGAGAGAAAACACACACACACACACACACACACATACATGTACACGACACTCGCGCGACGCGCGTACGCGATGTGCGCGTGACACGCGCGCAAACACGTACGCGCATGTATGTACCATTATTGTATCACGGCGTAGGATAAAATGTTGTATGTTGTTTCTATAATATGTGTTTTACGGATTGAGAATCCTTTATAGATGTCGTGTGTGACACAAGGCTTGACACGAGACGCGAGGGAGATTTCACACCGTGGCTCGCTCGTGCGCGCGCGCTTTCGGAAAGCGAGGGGAAAAATTATTCGCAAAAAAATCCTAATTCCGAATAATTGAAAATTTGTCGTGACGCTCGGTTCCACAAATTTGGCTCGATGTTGTGATATTTTCCAAATTTAAGATAAACGCGAGATGTGACGAGAAGGCACGCGAAGAGGAACTCTTGCGCTTTTTTCAAAACGTCAGAGATCTTCGTGTCGCATTAATAATAATTTACAAATATTATTCGATCCAGTTCTGCTATATTGGAAATTACGCGCGTTCGATTATCAATTGTCACGGTGTGAACGGGCTTTCCGCACAACGGGGAACCTTCGTTATATCATTCGCGTCGCACGGGCAGCGAGTTTTATGAAAAAGAAAAAAAATGAAGAGAAAAGCGAGCGACTGTCCGAGTGACGAGAATGAAGGATGCAAAATTCAATGTCATCACTGCACCTACACCGCGCGCAGAGAGTGCACTGGCAACTACTGTACCGTTTTTTGCTCGTATAGTATATAATAGTACTATACCGTAGTTGGATAATGATTACATAGTACATGTATCACGCACAAGCATTATTTAAAATCGAGGAAGCAAAAAAAAAAATGAAAAACTAAAAAAAGAAGAAAAAATGTAGAAGAAGAGGACAAAAAAGAGGCGAAAGAAAAAGGGAAGAAACAAACAAACAAAAAAAAAGCAGACAAACACATAGCTTAGCGATGTCGCAGAGCGGGACCTCGAACTTCCGGGGAACGAGCGGCTCGTTTCCCGACCGCGACCTATAGTACAAAGTAAATGTAATGTTAAGGATTAACAAACGGGACAGGCAGGAGACGTGTGGATTTTGTGAACTTACTATACACGCTGTAATTTATATAGGTAAAACATGAAAGAAAATAATAAGAAGAGACCAAATGCGCCTTGCGGCCGGATGCGTCAGGGATACGAACTCGTCGTCGAGGACCCCGATACCGATGATCGGCCCTCGCTCACGAGGAATCCAACGCGATCACGATGACGATTTCCGCCGTGTATTCCTTCTTCACAGACACATCTCTCATTGATAAAGGGCCGATCGAGGTCTCGCGATCGTGTACGCTCGATGACTCGAGAGACCCGATAGCGAAACTTCGCGCGGCCGTCGTTCCTTATCTCTTATCTCAACAATAAGACTGATATCTCTCGTCGTGGCGTTGACGTACAATATACGAAAACACTGCCACAGGCCGGGCAGAGAGGTCCTTCTCGAGAACCGTGTCCTCGACGCGTCCGAAACGGCCGCGGCTGCCGCAATAATTACAATACTTCGTCGGACACTAGTACAAATGCTACCTCACTCATACATACACACACGACTTACAGGGTGCACACAGAATAAAGCTTACGAAAAAAAAAAAATCATACTGTATTATATAACACAGTAAAGCGATAGTTTGCAAGATCGGATCGACGCGTCGCGCAGCCGTCGCCGGCTCTCGTCTCTCGGGAAATGAAGCGGGAATCGAGAAAATTGACAAGACACGGAGAGAAGCTTGCGAGAAAAGCTCAATGACAGAACGAAGACTTTCCCGAGAATGCCGGCGAACGGTGCGCGGCGCGTCGCGAGTCCTTCTCTCAGGAATATGAAAACCAAGTACAAACTACAAAGTATAATAGTCGATAAGGTTCTTAAATAAACATAAATCAATGAATCAAGCGATGCAATAGTCGGGTGTATAGTAGGGACTGTGTAGGTGTGTTCGTGTTTTTTTTAAAGGCCTCTCTGATATATTGCCGTGTATTTTAATGAAAACGTTGCGAAAAATCTTTTCGATCACTCGCCATGGAAAATCATCGCCGTGGATTCTTATATCGTCGAGTTTTCTCTCGCAATTTTCCCGCTCGACGAGCGGGCAATTGTAACAAGCAAATTATATACATACGTATACGTATACATATATATAGCGAGTCCACGCGCTTCTCTAAGTTTCTTTACGCGAATTCTTCTCTCACAAACGTTAAACG